GAAATGGATGATGCTGTCTGCCTTCTGCAGAAATAGTGCTGTGACACAGAAGACTAGTGGCCAGAGATAATTCAGAACCACTAGCATAGAAACATTTAGGTAATGGAGGCTCACGAATGCAGATTCTCCTGTATCTATAGTTACTTACTCTAATTTTAGCTAGAATCCTTCTATACTGATACACCATTCCAGTTTGATACATGAACATTACAAACGGTAGTGACCTGGGATCTTTTTCTCTCTGTTTGGGTTTCAGAAGGTGGGAGGTGGTGTAATGGAGTTGTCACAGCCTGTATTGTGTGGGCATCTCTGCAACTACACTGCTTGTTGGAAGCAAACTGGCTGTACTCATATGAATCAAGGAACTTGCAGTGAAAAATGTATCATTTCAGTATTAGAATAGGCCTAGCTTTAGCTTTTAGGATACAGGTAACAAAATACCTTCAGGTGGAGAACAGATACCAGAGAGCATTTTCTTTGCTCTAAGAGGGTATGTGGCTTATACCAATGTTAACACTTGGTTTGTATGATTCCATTTTACAGATTCCTCACTTTGAATGGAATTCTATGGCTCTGTCAACAAAAGGTGAACAACTAGAATATCTGAGAAGGCATGTATATGGAATACAGTGATGTCAGACATGCAGTTGAAAGTACGTTTTATATAATCACTTTAGGTATTCCAGCATTATGAGAAGTTTAATGATACATAGTTTCAAAAATCTCTTTATATGGTCAGCTGGACCATGATGCCATGGGACATCAGGTGTCAAGAGATTTAAGCTTCAATTTGGTAGGGATTGTAAAAGGCAGGTCACAATGGACTGTGAAGATATGATAAGGATGCTTAAAATCTCTCATCCTATGGAAGCTATTCTTTAAGTAAATGAATCTTTGACAGTTTTGCCATAAAATAATATTACCTTCTAAATGAATAGCACAGAGGCTTAGCCAGACATAAAACTGTGCAAAGGAAAAGATGGAAATATTCTTGACTGTGAGAGAAGAGGAAGCAAATCTGCTGGAAACTGTCTGTCCTCCAGCATGTGACAGAATGAGCAGTAGGGATCAAACAGTATCTGTACTGTGGAACCAAGAAACCAAAATGCAGCTTTACTAATAGGGCTGCTCCTGCAACTGTTCTGCTTCCATCTTTCAGAACAGAGGTACCATGGGTGACTCTGTCAGGGGAGGGTGTCGTGCCATGAGGAATCTCCAGCTGTGATGTGCAGAAGCATGGCTTGAGCCTTCTGGAACACCTTCATGTACTTAAAAGATAGACTAGTCCTAAGGGTGTGGCAGCAACTCAGACCCTTGAAACACCTGTACTCCAGTTAAGTGCAACTTGGAAGGGATACCTGAAAGATTTATACAAGATAAGGAGAAAATAATGCTTATGTCAGACATAGGCATTTACTAGTGGCTGGATAATTAATGAAATTTATTATTATGGTATTGTACATTGGACTAGCCCTTACTAACAGAAATAAAACAGTATTAGACAAACCATCTACCTTGCCTGTTCTGTAAATAAGACTGTACAAAAAAGCAAAATTAGCCTAAAAATTGAAACCAAGAATCAAGACCAAGAAAAGTCTTCAAAGGACAACAACCACCTTTGTTACTGGTGGTGAAAAACACTGCTGCTTTGTCTACTATGTTTCAAAACCATTTGCCTGTTACCAGGCTTCCTGTCATCCTGCTCAGCCAGGGTTTGTGTCAGAAGACGTAAGAAGCTGAGATGTAGAAGGAAAAAGTGGACTAGACAAGCGAATGTTCACTGTAGAGCAGTAACTGTAGAGTGGTCATGCTTTTGCAAGTCAGCCCACTTTTAGAGGCAGCTGTGTTGTGACTGCAGCTGCCGTTACACCATGACAGCTGCTAGCTGTGCCCATCTCTTTTCAGACACACAACATGTATGTTTTTTTGCCTTTTTGGTAGGAGAATAGATATTCTTCTTACCACTTCATTTGAAAGCCAGCAGAGGTGAGCAACTGCATTTCTGAATTGATCATTATGCACTTGGCTGTCACTTTGTCTTTTTGTTACTACTCAGTAGCAGAAGAAAATATTTTTATTGATGGAATACAATGATGATGAAAAGCCAGAAAAAAAATGACAGAACTGATCTAAGCTGCAAGGTGCTTTCCTCTTGAGGCAGCCCTCACATTTGTGATATGACTTAAGCAGACAACCACCTATTGGTTTTTTTTATGGCATCAAATGTACAAGGGCTCCAAGACATAGAAGACAAGTGTTTTGGGGAAATGTCACTGAAGGCAGAGCACGTAGAAGGACTATATGCACATTATCATATTTTGCATATGTTGTGGTTGGGTCCTAGAGATCATCTGTCCTACCCACCAAGCCTCAAACCGCAACAGCATAAAAGAAAGACAATAATAAATATAGCTTAGAATCTCAGAAGGTGGCCTGCAAGTCAGAGTGCTGTTGCCTGTACAGATATTCTTCATGTAGCAACCTTGGAGTGTAAGGAAGTCTTCTGCTGACCACTTGCTCAATATAGAATATTATCATTAACAGGCAGGCCAGCAGCCAAACTCCTTCCTTCACTCCCACATCACACACCAGAGACCCAAATTGCCAGACAACCAGAGGGAGGAACAAGTCAATGTACTCACCCACCACAGTGCACATGAAGAAGGGAGCAAGCCAGGCAAAGAGCCAAGCCATGGGAGATGGTAGCAGCCAGGCTATGGGACTCAGAGACAGCTTCATGTTCTGGCCCCATTGTCCTGGAAACTCCACTTGCCTTAAAAGAGTTGGGGAACCCTTCCAATAGCTAGAATCCTCACACAGCACATGCACTGTGTAGACAAGCCTCCCAACCCCACTGCAAACAGAGTCAATTATTCCATAGGTGGCTTTTTGCCTCACCTCCAAGTTAATGTGGAAGGTAAGGGCACGTGGTGATGATCTCCCAATCAGTTTCCACCCAAGGCTGGCCAGACCCTGGGTAAAAATCAGTCAGGAGGGTCTTTCTTGCCTGGTTGTGGACATGGCCAGACCCTGGGTAAAAATCAGTCAGGAGGGTCTTTCTTGCCTGGTTGTGGACATCATCCATATGCCAACCCTCATTCAGGGCTGGGGGTTTAGCCGAGGCAGTGGCTGTGGCTGAAGTGATCAGTCATGAGTAGCCTTGTGCTTTTCAGGTATCTGTCAGTCACTCTGTGCCAAGCCAGTTATCTCCAAGTCACGTATGGCTATAGGTATCAGTACACACAACAGGAAGAGGATTAAAATTAATAGAAGATTTCTATGAGTGGATTCAGAAAGTGTCGTTACTGACACCGGATCCCCGGGATAGCTGCCACTCATCCTCTACCGTTGGGTACCATCACAGACACTTGCTCCAACGTGGAGGCTGCAGCAGATGGCGTTTGTTGCGTCGCTGCAATTGCTTGTCTATGACAAGCCACGCCCACAGCGCCCCTCGTGGGCGGTCTGAGCTTTCCGTTACATCGCCAGATCTTCCCCACGCCGATCCCTGCCTAGGGCGGGCTCTGCTCACCACAACAAGAAAGGGCATCTAAGAAAAGCGCAACAGGACTATTTCAGTAAAATGTGCTGCTTTTGCTTTTTTGAAGTTATTCTATCTAAATTAGATCAGTGAGTTACAGCAGATGGCTGGTGTAAACCAGACGTTTCAGTGGAGCCAATGAAATGATGCAAAGAACAGCTGAAGATTTGAGTACTAAAGGGAAAAACAGAAAGGATGTCCCACGGATTAAGTACTGGTGTACAGTAACATACTGCAATAAGCTGTGATGGCTGTGCCTTTGCCATGTGTTTACCTCTGTATCCTAGGAAGGCAATGCAAGGGTCATTTGATAGTTGGAATTGCTATTCAGCCAGATGTGGTGGGCTTCTTTTCCAGGTTTCCTGCTAAGTTGTACTTAGATTCAGGACATCCCTGAGATTTATGACATCCTCTTTATTTAGTGGAGAAATCGTTTGAAGAGATACTCTATAAAAATGGCAGGCATGCTGTACTTTAAGAAGATGAGTGCTCTGTTTTGGACAAAAGCTGTACTAAGAAATTTGTGTCCTGTCAATATGATAATGCTGATAAGCTGGTCGCTAAAAGAGACACTATCAAGTGACACTTTAACAGTTTTAAGAACAAAGTTTAATTGTTACAAGTTTTGGCATCAAAATGCATCAACTTTTTATTAGATGGCAAAGTCCTCTCTGCTGTAGTTATTTGCTGATGATCAGTTCTTCTAGAACTTTTTCATGAATGCTTGCTAATGCTCTCAGACCTCTAAGAAAAACTTCCATAAAATATTTGCTTTAGAAATAAATACAAAAGCATAAAAAAGTGGAAAACCCTTGCTACTAGAACCCAAAACGTAGTAGGTGAAACAGTAGAGCTATTAACCTTGTGAACGTCTCTCTTTCCTTGTGTCTGGATATTATTACAGCTTTGGCTGACATTGGCATTTGTATCAGGCCACTTCTGTTTTCAGTATGCACCTCAGTTCCAGGCTAAAGTATTTTTATTTTCAAGATATGGCTGAATAATGCAGGATATATACACAGTGCTGAAGGGGAAAATCAAGCTGTATAAGAGCCAGTTAGAATAAAATTAGCTACCTACTAGTTATATTTAACTTAACAGTTAATTCTGGGGCACTGTTTGGAGGATAAGCCACCAATATCCTGGACTGTCCGAGTGTAGGGAAGTCTAACTAGTTTCATTGGCAGTTCCACAGAGTGAAAAATGGGAGTTGTCTCTGAAATCTTAATTTATTCTAATCAAAATGAATTGGGATTCTTCAGGATTTTAAAAGCTGGCAAAACTTCAGTTCTTGTTGATTAGCTTGTAAATATCTTAAGACAGGGACAGACAGATGAACTGTTAAAACAGTTATTAACAGTTAATTAGTATGCTGCTACAAAACTCTGTATGATTTGGGGGCTTCCATGCAACAAAACCAGAAGAGGCTATCAAAATTCCCTCACCCTATCACATTTTTCAGCATTTTGTTTACAATTTTGACAATCTGAAGAGGTTTAAGCGTGTAGCCAGGCAGGAGGCTCCAGTAGCATATCGGATCTCTTTCAGTATGCCAACCCATTCCTTCTTTTCATCGTCATACCTGCATTTAACAAAATAAGGTCAGGACATAGCTCCCTAAAATTTGAGTTTGATGCTTCATCATACAGCTACGAGGAGGATGGTCCACATGTTGCAAAGGCTTGTAGGAAGTACGTGCTAAAGGATGCCACAAAAGGCTGCTTTGTCCTTCAGAACAGAATATATGTTCTCGTTCATGTCAGTTGTCCTTTTCCTGTCTCCTAAAGCTTGTTACTGGCCTGTGTCAGACTGTAGTTACTTCTATAAAAGCTTCCTCCTTGACTTAAGTATCCCTTTGGAATTTTTTCAGCTTCTTACTTATAAAGGTGTTTGGTTTTTTTTCTGGACTCCTTCCTATCCTGCCAGTTAAAACTCCACAATTTACTTCAGCAACTGAATAATCACAGCAGACGTGATGTTTCATCACTGCTACTGTGATTTAGAGAGAAAAAGCTAGGAGATAGGGATTTCTGATTCTCCTGGAAAAATTACTCACCTATTAACACATGAGTATGTACAAACCTGTGTGTGTACAGGCTTCTCTGCATAAGAACATCACAAAACAGAATGTTGTAATGGTATACTTGCAAGGCTAAACCTGCTACAACATACGGCAATTTACTCCATGACTCAGACTGTTCAAATTACTAGTAGGTGGAAGTAGTCATTAGATCCAAGTATGATCTTTATTTTTTACAAACATTTCTATCTATCTGTCAACAAGTGCTTTACAGCCTGTGCTATGGTTCGTTTCCAGGGTTAAACAGAAAACTAACTTCATCTTCTAGTGTCTGCAAACCTGCATTGTAGATACAGCTTTCCACCAGGAAAGTGTGATTAAAATTAAACTTACTTCCATATGTCAGTGACTTCACTGGGTGCAAATTCCTTAGATTCAAGCTGAACCATTGCAAAGCCTCCAATAGCATACAAAGCTCCACTTAAGGTGACTAAACTGATGGAACTTCTTTCTTGGGGAAATTCAGGCATAATCTCCCACCTAAAGAGGAAATGAAAATTCTAAGTTAAACACATGAGAAGTACTCTAAACAGAATGCAGTAAAATACACTTCTGAGTGACATAATTCAGGTACCAAGGACATTTGAGTGAATTGTTTAGTAAAAGAAAAAAATTCTGAGATCAGCAGTGAGTTTCAGCAGCTCCATCTCCACAGGGAGTTCCTGCAAATCTGAAGTGATGGAATCACACAGTGATAACATATCTTCCCAGAGACCACTTCTTACAGGTCACCTGGTCCCATCATCAGTAATCCTCTTTATACGGATGTATTGTTCCACAGCCACTCTCACTTTCTCCTGTAGTTTCCAAAATGCATATTAATTTCAAGTAGAATTGACTTAATTTGATTTTTAAAAAGGTCACTGGAGCCCATGAGCATAATTCCAATTTTTCTGCCAATTCACACCTATGAACGGTAGCCAATATGTACAGCTTTGTAAGGGAAGGCCTGGCAAAATCACGGCTCCGGCCTGTCACTTAGGCTGAGCAGAGCAGGGCTCTGGGGGAGTGCCTTACTTAGAACAGAGGGGGCGAGGCATGCTGGGTATTTGCACCATGGTGTTTGGTGTTTGGTTAAAGTGGGTTTGTTGTGCCTAAAAAGTATGTAAACTAATGGTTGCATAAAAAGGCCGGGTATTTTGTAAATAAAGTTCCTCCTTTGCACCTGCCTGGGGACTCCGTGCTGCTCTGTGTGCCTGTACTGATGGAATGAACATATAAAACGTACAAACATCTCACTTAGGGATAGTGTCAACAACAAAACTAATAGACCAATATGTCTGTCTTGTCTGTGTGACTTGGCTGTAACAAAAAAGAGTAAACCAAGACAAGAATCTGAAGATTTTTCAGCTCACAAGCTGCATGCGTTTCTGAACAATGGAAGAGAAGAACATGCTCAGCATCACATTAACAAAATGGCCTTTACTTTTCCATTGCCTTCTATAGAAAGTGTGAAGTCCAAAGTTCCCTCATAGAAGTTCTTGTTCATAGTTCACATCCTGTATTGTTAAATTTTATAAGCAAGTCTCTTTGGGATAGCACACATTTAACTTAAAGCTTTAGTTGTGAGGTTGATGGCTGCAATGCCACCTGTCAGTGAAGACAGCACAGCCAAATGCGTTTATATAGAAGTGCTTATTAATAAAATAAAGGTGCACCCAGGATCACTTACAAGTTTGAGCTATCAAAATAAAGCTTTACTGATACTATTTTTAATGAAAGTTTTAAATACAATGACAGGAAAAGTAACAAAAGCAACAAAAAAGAAAATTAAGAGCAGAAAGACACACAGACACTCCTGGAAAATCATAAACATTTGAGGGATGCTGACTGCCAAAGATTCTTCCTGTAAGGGAGAACATGGGAAAGTATCTGGATCAAATAAGTGAGCTAATTCCAGGTACGGCTTATTCTCTTGTCATTGCTTTTTTTGTGTAATTTTTCAGAGCATGCATTTAAAACCAAGGTAAGTGACCAGCAAGACATCACAAAGGCCCTGTTCTCAAAGGACATCCAGCTAGTCCTGTTGAGGCACCCAATTTCTCTTGCTGGGATTTTGTGTTTAGTGCCAGTGCAGTTTCAGCAAGATTGCGCGGCCCTTGCCCATGTCTTCCACTTCTCCCGTTGTGCCAGGACACCTGATTATGTGCCTGTGTGGTCAACTAAATAAGGAAAATAATCAGACTTAAAAAAAAAAAAATATTAGAGGATGGGTTATTTTTGCTACACGAGTACTTTAATCATGGTTCTAACATAGCTACGCCAGCATGGGAAATGCATGTGGGGGCAAGAAAAATGGCCAGAGATACCACCTCTTAGTTAATAATGTGAAGGTAGACCAAGTGGGAGTATTGGCACCTGAACACCTTTGTGACTCATATCTCTGAGCTCCTAAAAGCCTAGATGATAAAACATTTGCTTGAAAATAGCTTTAATATTGCACTCACTTATTGGTGGTCAGATCAAAAGCTTCAACAGATGCAGTAAGGCCTTCTTCAGTGACACCACCTGCAATGACAATCTTGCCCTTATGGATGGCTGTTCCAAACATCGAGCGGGCCACTTTCATTGGAGCCAGGTCTCTCCAGTCTCCTTTCTTGGGATTGTATACAAATACTCTATTAGTGCATTTCCTGGGGAGGGAACAGAAAACCTGTGATCATTTCAAATGAACTTCTGGCTTTTTCCAAGTGAGACCTAGTTGAGGTGGATTGTGGGGGTTTATGTATAACACCACTTTCCTCTTCACACGATCCATTCTTGTACCCAATCTGGGAATCTTTGCAGGTCAACAAAGCACTGATCACATCCGTAGAACTAAATCAAATGTTAAATGCTGCTTACACAGGGCACTGATTTCACTGTACCTTACAAGGGAAAGACAACGTCTGTTCCCACCATGTTCTGTTCAAGGGGGAGTGTTGTGGAGGAACATATGACAAAGGTTAGAAAGAAAGATTATGCTGCTGTTTTGGCTGATTTGACAAACTTGTATCTTAAATGTCCCCTACACAAACACTGAAAAATTACCCTCACATGTTTAGTGTGAGAGAAGGCTTTGATTTTCCTGATGTTGTACCCATTAAGATGTAACAGGCATTACACGTCAGAAAATTCAAAAAATTTGCACATGAATTCCATGGCATCCAAGTATTTCTATCTGGAAAGAAATAACACTTTCAGTGAGGGTCCTCATAGCTATCTATTACTAATGTGTCTGCAGCGTAAGTACAGTCTGCCTTGGAAAAAAGGATAGTCATTAAAATAATTAGTTGGGATTGCAATTTATATGCAATTTTACCTTATCATTAAAAAGACACACCATAATGTGTTCCCCTCTGCCAAATGGTTAACAGCCTTACTCCAGAGATGTAAAAAACCAAACCCCTGATTTCCGAGTGTGTGGACATATCGTCTATAAAGGACCAACCAAATAATGTTATGAATTGTAATGAAAAGACTTAGAGACTCACTTATCATCAGTTTTTCCACCAAGACAATATATCAATCCGTTGTTTGAGACAGTAGCATGGCCATATACTTTCATGGGTAGTTTTTTGATCTCACCCCATTTCATTGCCCTGGAACAAGAATATCATCACTGTTAGGCTCTTTCAACTAACAACAGGCTATTTACATGTCCTCAGAGGGCAGAATTAAATGTAAACATACACAGGATCATAGCACAATACTGAATCTAGAGACTCCTCAGTGCGAAGGTCCTTGCCTGCAATTACATAGATCTTGTTGTCTGACTCTCCCAGCCCGAAGAGACACCTGGCTGACGGCAGTGGAGGAAGGGCAACCCACTCACCAGCAATGTTATCCAGCTGAAAGAGCATCAGAACAGGAAGCGTTAGGAAAGGCAAATAGTAAAAATCCCCACAATGAACATTGTTCTACAAAGTTAGTCTAATTGTACTCACGGTCTCTCAACAGCTCATCTGCTTGCCTCAAGAACCTACCTGCACCTCCAGTGTAGCTAATGAATGATTACTTCTACCCATCCATGCTTCATGGTGCCGAGACCTAGCAGAGTCAATGCCACAAAGCTCTCTTCGCATCTGCTCACCCTCACTCATCCTCACAGTTTCTTTGGCTCATTATTAAGCTGTTCTTCATTGTTTAAAGGTCCCTCACTCTCTGGGCTCCCTATCACATGTTGGAAAGAACAAGTTGTTCCTCCTGCCTGAAGGAAGCAGGTACTCCTGTTCCCCACACCTATACGTTTAGTTGGTTGTGCTCATTGCTACAATGAGATGCCAGACTTCCTTACACCATTCCTCTTAATGACCAGGAAATATTACATGGCAAATGGCACAGATGTTTCTTCTGCAATCCCTAGAGCAAAAGAGGTGGTGCTTCATCACAAATACCCTCTAAAGCTCCCAGGATCTCTGAAGGCAACAAATAAAGACTTAACTCCTATGCAAAAAAAAAGCAGGCAGTACAGATCCATTGGCAATAACACTTGATGTCATCCCTACTGACGTACTCCCACAGCTGTCTCAATTTACATCCAGTATGTTGAAAACACCTAAGGAGAAGCAGCAGAAGGAGGGCAGAATAAAGAACAAACCCAAACAATATTTTCCTGTAAGTGTGGTGCTTAATTTTTGTTTTGATCTAAGAACTTACAATTGAACCTCAATGCTCTCTAACATTAGAAGAGTATTTTCTGTTTTCTATTGCATGTAGATTTGCTTCACGACATACAGAAAGGGAAGGTAAAAAGGGAGTTTGCGCAAGTGTAAAGGCATTTGATAGAAAGCAAGAGAAAAGTTCAACTGAAGTAATCAGATCTGAGTTTAGCTCAGTGACATCTTTTTTCCAGAAATAGGTTCCACAATCAAGGCCTTTGTACTGAAATGCATCTCCCAGTTTTGACAGACCACCTCTATTGGACAGGAAGTTTTATTGCAACAGTGAAATTTAAATTTAGTTCATGGACATAGATTGACCCAGTAGCTGGATCTGGGTGGCATAATGTGAAGATGTATCCAACACAAATCACAGCATGCTTAGTGAATCAGTCTTGACATATCTACTGATGATAGGGCATAAACTAGTCATGCGGTTTTGAGACAGTGGAAGCCTTGTTTTCTCCTGGGTTGCCAGCTACCAACTAAAATGGTAACAGGTGCTTCACTGGTGGAGAAAGGGAGATCATTAGCTGAAAATCGGGTTGGCACCACATAAACATTTTAGAGGAATTAGCCTCGTGGGTCATGCAGATGAGTACTTTAGCTATAGGCAGTAGCAGCAGCAAGCAACCTTAAAGGTGACAAGTGAGAGAGCAGAATTTCAGGAAATGGATGTAAACATATAAAGTAGGATTCTGAAAACTTCATCAATTTTTAATATCAGTCTTGAGGTTCCGTTTCTTAGAGATCCCTTTCTAGTAGCCTGAGACTTAGGCTATTCGGTTCTGGAATTTATGCATTATGACATCAACACAGTATTTCTATTAGAATATTTCTGTAACAACTTTTGTGCTTCAGTGCTTAGTGGTTTGCACCTATGTAAGGAAATTAAACACTGCTAATCCCTTTCTAGCAAACTAAGACTTCCCTCTCATAACAAATGCCTCAAACCAGCTCTTTTCTTATGTGTGAAATCAGTAAGCCCTACACTTATAAACACTTAATATCTGCATTTTTTAATACCTGAAGACTTTAAAATCCTACCACTGCTTATCACTCTGCCTTATTTTGTATTGAAACAGGACCCATTTTCACTCTTTAGGCCAAGGTGCTTAAAGACAGGACATGGCCAGAAGCATACTGCATAATTCATGATGAGGTAGTTTAAATATTGCCCAAAGCATATAGCCAGATAGCTAAAAACACAGCAGATTTAGTTTATGGTGTAAGCATGCCAAACTGTATTTTTGCTAATTTTTCTAAAGTATGTTGCAGAAGTTAGTTTGTATTACATGGCCTTATATTTATACAAAACATAAAATTATGTGCTTGGTTGAAACATGGTATTTACTGTACTGATGTTAACAGTTTGCCAAGAAAACAACATTCTACCTCTAAATTACATTTTTCAGAATGTCCTTATGTTTTCAAATTTAGATGTGACAAAAGGATTTCTGGAATTCTAGAGACAGAAGTGGCATTTAGAATATGCACATTACTGCTGCAATGAAAATATTTCAGATGCAAAAAAAGAAAGACATCTCATTAGATCTAAAGCAACTAAGCACTCAACTTTCAGGGAAGTTAACAGAAATTCACAAAAGGTATTTTACAAAAATATAATTAGGCTTAAATTTAGGCATCTGTACCATGAAAAAATCTGGGCCTTAAACAAATAAAGGCAGTGCCTAGATATAATAGTAACTTTTTAATCTTTTCCAAGATCTCACCAGAGGCTTGATGGAAATCCCTTGGTTTCATTTATCTCTCCGAGACAGAAACAGCCTCTAGAAACACTTCTCTTCATCGATAGTAAAGAGAGACTAGACAACCCACTTGCATGGACTCAGAATACTCAGACTCAGTTACTTTTCAGTAATTCTTACAAGCACGTGCTATTGCACCAACCATTAGAAAGCTTATACCTGGAAGAAGTATGACTGGAAAGGCTGATCCTTGTTCTCCTCTTCCACATATAGTCCTCCAAGAACGTAGACCTGATTTTGTTTGGTGACTATACTGGAATGATTTCTGGGAATCTGTTCTGCCAGGGCTGCTAGGTAACATTCATTTTCCAGAGGATCATAAGCTACTGCAGCAGTGTCATTAACCAGAAGAATTAGGTCTTTGACAAACATGCCGTGCCTGGGAAGGTCATTTAGGTAGCCAGGCAATAAATCTTCATCTCCTACATCGCCATTCACCTCCCCTTTGGTTGACTTTTCTGTACTTTTGCTAGAGTCAGGTAATTTTCCAGCAAAAGCATCTTTAATAATCTTTACTTTCTTCTGAAGGTCTGAGTTGCTTTTAATTACATCATCCTTCTCAACATGCTCTTTGAAATATTTTTCTGGCATAAGACGAAAACGTATGCAGTCAAAAATTTCCCCCAGGCTCTTCACTCTGTTCTCCTTGTCTGTTCGGACCCATCTCATTACTGCTTCAAATACCAGTTCTTCCTTCTCTACATTCAAGCTGTCAGGCGAAATAATTGAGATAAGTTCATGAGGAGCAAGCTGCATGAAGTCCTCTTCTTTGCAGATCTGCAGAAAATGATCTGAAACAAAATCACGGGCAGAAAACGCAAGTCTTGGGCAGTCAAGCAGAACACCTAATCGAAGGATGGCCAGACAGTTACCAACAGCAAGCCTCTTTTGAAGATAGGAGACACACACAGTGAATACAGAAGGAATCTGAAAGCGACTGGCCAAGGCAAAAATATCTTGTACGTTAGAATCATTAAGGTCAATACTTGCCGAATAAAGGTATTTCACAATCATATCCAGGATGCTGGGGTCAACGTTATCGAGAACTACCTCCTTCTTTTTATCTTCATTTTGCTCAGATAAGAAATACTCACGGAAATAAGGACTACATGCTGAGAGAATCAATCTGTGACAAGGCAGGCTTCTGTCACCAGCTTTTAGAAAGCAATCTATAAACTTTTTCTCTTCGAGGAGTTCCTTGAGGCCATCCTGAAGAAGGGTGGATTGGTAAAGCCTGAGTTCTTCAGTGAGTTCCCTTTGTGAATCCATTTTGCAAATACTTAGGAAAGGGGAGGGAGCAGAAAGCTTTAGCTGTTTTCTGCCCAAAGGTCTGTCTGTAAAAAAGGCAGACCAATGTGCTCTGCCCTGCCTGAAGCCTCTGCAACTTAATCTTGCTAGCTAATTATAGGTCCATACTCTTACAGGTCGGAATTTAGGATGGATGGTGTGGAAAAGAGTTGCTCTTGCAGCTGTCAAAAGACTGAAAGAAGCAACTGTTGCTTTTAGTCACTATGGTTAGATCTTCCCATCATTCTCCACATTGAATCAATGAGATTATGTGCAATATAAGAAATTACTTCGCATGAGTAAGGACAGCAGAATGTGACCCTCAGTGAGACAGTCATGAGCAAGATTGCAAATATACACTACCAAATATTCTGGAATAGAAATATTAATCGTCGTCAGCTGCTAACTACTGTTCACTTTCTCAGAGTTGTTTAATACATGTCATTGCTGCAGTCATAAAGATTATTAAAAAAACTCTAGAACTTTGCATCAATTATCTATGTGCTAAGACTGGTTTTTTACATACCCGTATCTCACCTGCAGTTTCTTCAGATATTGATAATAAGACTTTGAAATAAATTTTGAATGTTTTCTTAATATCCATTGGGTTGTATTTATTTGTAAACAAAACCCTACTGTTTAGACATAAAATACACATTATCCAGGTTCAAAGTTCTGCTTTCAAAAATAATTTAAAATTAACTCTCTACCCCTTCTTTATAAACACCATTCATTTCAAATAACCTGTAGACATCAATCCTTTTAAATTTGACTGTACTAGAAACAGTGTTAACTGCTGTTATACAAATTGAAAACAGTACATACAAAAAAAAGGTAGAACAGAAACTGAAAACCATGTAACCCACCATATCAACAGTAGTTAATGGATGTGACATTTAAAAAATAAAAATAGAAATCTGAATTCAAACTGAAAAAGTTCCAAACAGTAGTAGTTTGAAAAGTGTGAATTCAGAAAAAATTACACATGTTGAAGATTTTGTAATTTAGACCAGGAATATTCAGATTTTTAATAAAAGTGGTAATATAGATCCAGAACAAACTTAAGATTTTAAGTTGTTTAATGTGCCTTGAAGGATTGTACAGAGAATGCTTTTTACCCATATGGCAAAATCTTCTTAGAATGTAATGTAAACAGGATCAAAACAAAACTGAGTGCAAGATCTACAGTGAGGTATACCATTATCAAAATTTATTTAAATCATGATTGCTTTTCAATATAGGTAGTATTTCATTAAAATATATACCTTGAAAGATTTTCTACAAACAACACAATTATATTCACACCACAGTTCATTTGTTCTGACAGTCAGCTGCTAAAACAACAGCTGAGAGGAGAGCTCATTTGACTTTTTCCACTTATAGAAAATAGCACAGAGGTCTTATCTCACTAGAAAACATAACAGCTGCATCTTCCTTTAAACCATAAATGATTCATTTCTCTCTAACACATAACAACATAAAGGTCTAATGACTCAGACACAGAAGCTATTTGTGTGTACACTTTTCTCCAGATTGTTCCTTAAAAAATGTGCTCTAGTCAAACAAAATAATAATAATAAAAAAAAACCACCTGTATGAGGATATCTGGATTATAACTGAGTACCTGGAATAATATGTGCTGAGCATTTAACAAAATCATGAGACAAGGAAATAATACTTGGAACAGTGTTGCTTTTTGGCGAAGTTATCAGTAACAGCCCCACAGCAGTGACACAGCCAATATGCCCAGGTACAAAAATGTTCTGCAGACGATGATATTTCTAGGTTGCACAACACTAAACAAGTTACAGAAATTTGATGTAGATATAATCATCATGGGAAAGTACATCATTATGTATAAATACATGAATACTTCAAATTGAACATCAAACCATATACCACACAGTGCCCTATTTCAAATGGTGGTCTCCATGTACATAGGAAGAGGAGGTTTCCTTGTGTGCCATAAATCCAGTTAAAATGGCAGGCAGTGGCTGGTCCTGGAGCCAATCACAGGGCAGTATGTAAGCATACAAGTCATGAAGTTGTAAAAAAAAAATGGTGGCTATCTGCCATGAAGTGGCTGAAACACCATGGTGGGGGACATGAAACACCATGGAGGGGGCTTCCTACTCTGACAACCTTCGGGGGGAAGCAGGATGGGATGTCTGGTCCTGCCAGTCACATGCCTGAAAAGCCCTGGGGTACAGAGAAGTGTATCCAAATGTGCAGCCAGCCAGTTTCAAAGCAGTATGAAAACTTTTTACATCATGGTGGCTGAAATAAAATGGCAGCTGCCATGTGTGTAGTGGGGAGGGTCTTCCAGGCCCTTTTCCCTGGACACAGAGCAGGGACTTCTCAGGTTCTTCCACCATGTGACCAGAGGAAGGGCCAGGCTTCTGCGGCCTGTGGAGCAGGACTGCATGCAGGCGGCAGAGCTTTCACCAGCAGCTGGGGCCCCACCCCTTCTAATATTAGGAACCCACCCACTAGGTACAGAAATAATATAATAAAAATAAAGGCTTTACACATATTAGGGTTTTGAATAATCTTGCCTTTATGACATATCCTGAAGGTGTATTATCTAGTATTTGCCTGCTCTTTAGCTTTGGCATGTTATTTCTCTGCTACTCTGGTATTTCTAAATTATCTTCTACAGACCTCACAAATCCAGTAAGAAATTAGAATCTTTCCTTGCTTAGGATACAAACGTGTCAATATAAATCAGGTCATTACTTCCCAGAGTCCCTGGAGTGTGAATCCATCCTTTAGCTTCTCTATTGCAAGTCCTAGTTCTTCTGAAAAAACAGGCTCCCCATCATGTTGCTTTTTTTAATGCATGAGATAAGAGAAAATAAAACAGAAGGTACTTTTAAACTTTATTCTCTCATTTTAGCATAATTAATTTGATGTTAAGAAAAATATATTCTTACCTTGTTTTCATCAGCAAAGTAAGCCTGCAAAACGAAAAAAAAAAGAAGTTGCAACCTTGCAATGGAATACTGGTCTGGAGCCACTCCTCAGGTCCGGGATGATCTATGCGTATTGCAGCAATCACCTTCTAATAATTTACAGCTTGCAGGTTTTACTTTAGAATATGCAAAGCACAGTTATTTAATTCAGGTGACAAATGCACCAGTAGAATCTACCTTTAAGGAAAAGGTAGGTCTTCAACATACTTGAAGACTGAATAAAAACATGCAAAAGTGAAAAGAAAACAAGGTAAAAAGTGAGGAAAAAGGAAGGAAAGGAAGACATAAGAGCTTATCTGCACCAGCAAGAGACACCAAAAGAAAAGCAGGTGGAACTAAGGTTGGTGCTAGTGCTGCTACTATTATTTTAAATATCTACTACTGTTTATTTTGAAAAATAATTTGCTCTTAAGTTAAAAATCCACACACAGAATAAACTCCTGTAGTAATCAGGATTTTAATAAAAGTTGTGTATTAAATATAGAAAGTTCAGTTGTAGTTTACCTTTAATAGAGGACTACAGCTGTATATTGCTTACATTCCAATAACCAAACAAGAATGACTTTATTTTTTTGTTTCTGTGGAGCAGCTTACCACAAAAGCATCTGTATGTTCATCACATTCTATTTCTACATCATCTTGAACCTGCTCCACTGTTAGGTCTTCAAGAGGTTGAGGCTGAAAATTAAAACACTGAAGTAAATCTACGTATCTGTTTAATATGTTTTTATTACTGCTGTTAACACAATACTTAATCTGATTTAAAATAAATGAGTGGAGTACCTTTTCTTCCATTTCATAGTCCACTCCAAGTATGGGGTTAGCTGAATAAACTCTGTGAAGTGAATTAATTTCTTTCACTGCCTCCTGTAATTTTTCCACAGGGTCTATTTTAAAACCAAGTACATATCCTCCACTCTACATAACAGAGAAAAAAGATGACATAATTATTAGTTTTCCTTATTATTTAAACAACTTTTTCCCCTTATCTGATAGGGACTTGCAGTTTAATGACAGTAAATGTCAATTTTTTGATAAAACATTATCTGTATTTTGGTAGTACCTTATTTTCATTCTGCCACTTAAACCACGGGTGAAATAAAACCAATGGCAATGTTTCTCTCTGAAGTAAATGTTTTAACTGTTACCTCATTATATAAATGAGGAACAAACTTTTTACACAGAAAAACAAAAACAAACAAGGGTGGGAGTAATTCAGAAGTGATACTAATAATTTAGTCCTAGCTACTCACCCAATGTTTAGTCTGTTAGATCTTGATGTTGTTATTACTGAAGCTTTCAGACACAGCAAATACAGTTGGTAGAACTTTTTTTCAAAAAATCACCATTAAAAGCATTTTTGGATTTAAGGTCAAATTGAAGAAAAATAATTTTGTCTCTTACAGCAAAACAGATACACAAGTTAAAGAGATGAAAAGCAGCAGTCTTAAGTACAGAAGTAATTAGGTCCCAAAGCTAATCTGTCAGAAGATGCTGTTTTTAAGTTATTTTACTTTAACTAGACATGCTGACCAATTGTTGCTTCACTTAGAGAAACTCTAACTCACAATAGCCCTATAGACCTTAACTTACAGACATTCTAAGCTGTGCAAAGAGGATTTTTTAAAATCTATGTTCAAAAGGCCATGCAGAAGGAACACTCCAATTACCTTAAGACAGCTTTGTAACAATTCAGAATTAAAGAATTATTATAAATAAAAATTTAACCAATGAAAAAAGGTTATTCAAGGTCCTTACCTGCTGAGAACTCTCTATCACAAGTGCCAAGCCAAACTTTGAGTCTCTTATTTTTATTGAACGCTAATGGTAAAGAGGCAAAAATGGTTTGTTAAAAATTTTGGAATTACTTTACAAGAATCTGCTTTATCTGTTTTTTAATTGTTTTGTTTTTACATTACTAATTCCTATTACTGGTTCTAGAAGCTATCAGCATTCTCTCCCATTTGCCATTACAAACCTGAACCCCTGAACCTCAGAGAAAAGCTTTTTCTATCAGAAGCAGTAACAACAGGCAACAGCTCATTTCTGAACATCAGGTGCTCAGATCATTAATCCCAGTGTTTGTAGGTTGCATAAAGCATCATGGGAAATAATTTGAAAATTGGAAATACAAGCCACTTTCGAAATCTGTACC